CATTCCTTTATATAGCTACATAGTTACATAATTAGTCTGGCCTGAAAAAAAAGTTATAATCCTATACCCACAATTAATTCGGAGGAAGGCAAAAAAAACCCCAGCAAAGCATGATCCAATTTGCTCCTGCAGGGGAAAAAAATCCTTCCTGATCCCCCGAGAGGCATCGGATATTCCCTGGATCAGCTTTACCTATAAATGTTAGTATCCAGTTATATTCTGTGTATCTAGGAAAGAATCCAGGTCTTCTTTAAAGCAATCCACTGAGCTGGCCAGAAACAACTCTTGAGGGAGTCTATTCCACATTTTTCACAGCTCTCACTGTGAAGAAACCTTTCCATGTTTGGAGATTAAATTTCTTTTCCTCCAGAAGTAAAGAGTGCCCCCTTGTCCTCTGTGATGACCTCAGGGTGAATAACTCTACTCAGAGTTCACAATATGAACCACTGATGTATTTATACATGTTGATCATATCCCCCTTTAATCTCCTCTTCTCAAGAGAGAATAAATTCAGTTCTTCTAATCTTTCCTCATAGCTGAGCTCTTCCATGCCTCTTATCAGTTTGGTTGCCCTTCTCTGCAGGGCAATGCCATACTTTCTAGTGATTAGAAAGGACAGCCCCTTATAGTTTATGGATTATTGTTCATTGGACAGAGGACTATACAGGGGGAACAGGGGTATCAGAAAGGTAATGCTTGTGAGTGCTTTAAGAATGTATATGCATTGTAATATTCTTCTAGATTTCTATGTTAGCGTTCTGCTTGCATTATAAACAAATGAGACCTTTGCTTCTTTGAGCATTGTGTTTATTTCTATAGCTAATATTGTCACCATTAATATTTTTAGAGCTTTGATAGAATAGCTAATTATAGGAGCAGATAAGAAAATACATATTTATAACTTAAGTAGGGGGAATCCAAAACCACCCCTTATTTATGTCACTGACTATGTAATGCACACCTGTGTGTACAGTGACAGTGAGGGTAGGCTTTAATGCCCACATGCCACACACATACATCCACGAACAGCAGAGATTTCTGTGCTGCATGCACAATGACTGAGCTGTCAAAGACAGCTCTTGGTCTTTACTAATGAATGGGAGCTGGCAGGACAGGTTTCTGCTCATGTGAACCAATCAAAGCCCCCCGAGCATAAAGACCATGGTAAAGGGGCATCAGGGCTGAGCAGGAAGGGATTACAAAAACTGTATATAGTAAGGTCAAAATACTGTATATAATGATGCCAAACATACCAAAAAATAAATATAAAGGGGTTCATAAAAAACAAAAAACTGCTGTGTTAGCGCCAGTAACAGTGAATATATACATTTTTTATATTGCTCATAGTTACACTTTAAACAATGCTAAAATTTAAGGTACCTTAAATACTAATACATCTGGATAAATTTGTGACAGTATCCTTTCTGTTATAAATAATGGATAGTTTTATTGTTTTACATTTTTCTAACAAGTTGTAATTTAATCTAACTAATCACTTTAACCACTTCCCAACAGCCGTATGCATATATACAGACTCTCTGTGGGTGAGCCTTAACGCTGTGCAGTCACATATACTGTACGTGTCTTTATGTAAACACATTACTGTGCTGAGAGCACACTCCCAGCACAGTAACCAGTGGGTACCAAAAAAGCTCCAGATACATACTTGCAACTGGGAGCTTTACGATCATGTGACCACTGTGACTGCCAACCACAGCGGTCACATGATCAGAATTCCCATCTCTACTCCCCAGAATTTAGAACCTGTTAAGGGCCTGGAGGCAGGAAGGGGTTAAAATATAAAGCCTTCCTATATAATAGCAAGCTTCAAGTAAATGTTCAAATGTTAAAGGACTGCAACAAGCTAAAAAACATAATGGAAACCTACTGTATGTATTTTTACAATTACATTTACCATTAACTCCTCTATTCAGCTCAACTCTATAGGAAAAAACTTTTATATAGAGATGCTAAAATTTCAAAGGCTACATTTACATTACTAATTCAGTCTGACTGTAGTTTATCTCAGAGACAAATAAAGTGTGACATTCATTAGTTATTATCTTAATCTGAAGTTAGTTCTAAAATGTGTATCCAAGACAACTTTGCACCAGGAAAGCAATGTGTATTTCTGTAGTCTCTGTTATTACACTATAAAACCAATCTACACTTTGCCTGGCATGGCTACAGAGGCATTGCTACATTGTTTTCCTCAAATGACCTTTATGCAGAGATTTATAACTTTAGATCCATTTCTATATGTATCATAAACCAGAATTTCTGAAAAAGGTAAGGTGTAATTTTGAAACAAGCATGAACAGTAAATCGAGAAAAACAGGAAAACGAACCTTTGGGCTTATTTATGGATATATAAAATACAAAGACAATGTACAACTTCCTAAAACAAATTCTATTTAGAAAAGTTTATGATAACCCAACCTAGTTGTTATTGGTATTAAATACTAATGGTATGTTAAAATGGTGGTGGTAATAAATACTTAATGTATGACCCATGGATAATATAATAATACATACTGGAATAAAGAAAATTATAAGATAGGCATTTGTGATTTGACATAAATGACAACTGGTTAGGGAAGACTGGGGATGAAATGTGAACATCTCTTGATTACTTTTACTCCCTAATGAAGTTTTTAAACAATAATATTTATTGTAAAGGACAGTATATGTTTTTTTAGAAGTAATAGCTAATAAATGATTATTAAATTCTGATCAATTATAATTGTATGTATTGTGAACCTTGCTTGGATTGGGTTTTTACTGCTATCCAGGCTAAGAGAGATTTTCCCCTCACTTACTGTCATGATGGATGACAATGGTTTTTCATCAGCGTAGTGACAACAGTTTCACCAGGCAGTAGAGTAGAAGAAAAGCTTTGTATTGCTGTTTGTTGCAATGTTGTAAATTCATTTCACTTCCTGTCTAGTAAAAGGATTGTCACCATGATAATGAGGGAGGGTAAATCTCTCTAAGGATACTACAGAGAGCAGAAAAACACAATTGTAACACCTTTTATCTTAGCTCAAGCATTAAGGTGAGAAGGCATTGCACATATCCATGGATTGGCAGTTTGAGCACTGGAGCGCTTTATTAAAAGCACTTTGTGGAAGATTTAATGTCTCAGCCTGAGAGTGATTGTTACTGGGTCAGGTTAATTACGCAATTAACCCTTCACACTGCCACCACCGCCTTTTTGTACAGAAAAGGAGGAAACTCACCAATATTAGCAATAACACTATGATGTACTGTAACCCATGACACTTATGCAGAGTGACAATCTCTAAAGATAAGATCATACAGTTGAAGTCACCAAGTCCCAGATGAATTACAATCTATATGTGTTATAGATGTGTTATAGATGGATAAAATATTTAAAAAACTTCTAATATGTAGCATCTTTATTAACAATGAAGAATTCAGGGGGTGAAAACAAATAATATTCAATAACCCCTAAACACTATATTTTAACTTTTCTTAGTTTGAAGTTGTCAAAGCACTGAAATTTGAATTTTTTCCGTTTGCCTTTTGAATAGTTAATGTTGTTATAGCTCCACAAAGGTTAACGATCTGTTATACTAATGGATAGAATGTCGACACATGCCCAATGAATAAGCATTTTAAAACACATTTTAAAAATTCAAAGTGGTTCAGAGTAAACTTCATTAAAAAAAAAAATCCCTAAATTGATTTACCATTTGAAATAAACACAGATTGGAAAGGGCGGTATAAAAAAAATTACTAATTTAATAAAGCATGTCCTAAACATTATAGCATACATAACTTTTTATATTTCAGTTCTAGCTACAGTAATAAAGGATATTAAAATAAACTCAAAGTATTTTTTGTTTTTTTAAAGTTCTGTATCTTTTTCCGCACAAGGGCTGAAGTTCATTACTAAGGATTTACATTGAGATCATGTCTCTACTGCATGGACTAATGCTGGATACTTTTTTGATGAATCACTGGATTATAAAATCTCTGTTTTCATGCCAAAATGGTTGAACCTACCTCTGCAGTGCTTCTATTCTACATATAACCTGATTAAGTATTAGGAACTGGAAGAAGGGTCAGAGAGTAAAATAATATTTTGTCTGATTTGCCACATTAACTTAAAGTGGGAAATGAAAAAAACCTCTCACATCTGTTTAAGTGATCTTTAGTAGGTGGTGCTATCTATAATGCTGATCCTAAGCATTAAATATATGCTTTACAGAAAATACTAAAATCTACAAATTTGGCAAGCAAATCAGGGCACGTATTCCATGCTTCTGAATTATGAGCAATCCTTACTAACTTAGATTGGAAACAAGTGAAGAATTTATAAAGACTGGGTGTAAGAATATGAATCATAGTTCTTGAAAAAACAGAACAGCTGAACACATCATTTATACAGTCTATATTACTAAAATAAAGCTGTATAATGAAGGACACCCTGCAAAGAACACATGGAATACTCACCTCTGCAGGAGTGAAGAGAGAAACCGCCAATGAGATCCTGCAGCATCTAACACTTGCCAAGTTCCCCACTCTGTCCTTTTAGTATATCTTCTCTGTTGAGTTGCTACCCTAGAACAAGTATATAGAACATTTGACTTTACCTTAATGTTACTCTCCAGGCTGCCACGCAGATTTATACCTTTTCCCTCCACCACCTTTATTGCTGCTATGAAAAAAGCAATAGTACCTAGATGCCCATTTTACTCAGATGGGGGGAAGAGGAAGTTTAATTTTTAAGATATGTTGTAAAACCACATATTGGGTTAGTGACAGGCAAGTACCGTTCTCCTGGCAACCTCCAAATCAAGACATGTCCATCAGAGTGCCAGACAGAGAAGTGTGATTCGTCACTCCAGAGAACACGTCTCCAACTGCTCTAGAGTTCCAATGGCATCAAGCTTCACACCACTGCATCCAATGCTTTGCATTGCACTTGGTGATGTAAGGCTTGAATGCAGCTGCTCAGCCATGGAAACCCATTCCATGAAGCTCTCTACACACTGTTGTTGTGCTAATCTGAAGGCTACATGAAGATTGGAGGTCTTTAGCTATTGACTCTGCAAACGATGGGCGACTTCTGTGCACTATGTGCTGACCCCACTCTGTCATTTTACAATGCCTACCACTTCGTAGCTGAGTTGCTGTTGTTCCCAGTTGCTTCCACTTTGTTATAATACCACTAACAGTTGACTGTGGAATATTTAGTAGCAAGGAAATTTCACGGATGTACTTATTGCACAGGTGGCAACCTATCACGGAACCACGCTTGAATTCACTGAGCTCCTGAGAGCAACCCATTCTTTCACAAATGTTTATAGAAGCAGTCTGCATGCCTAGGTGCTTGATTTTATAAACCTGTGGTCATGGAGGTGATTGGAACGCCTGAATCCAATGATTTGGAGGAGTGTCCCAATACTTTTGTCAATATAGTGTACTGTATGTATTGTATACAATTGCTACACAAAGTCATATTGTAATTGAATATTATTAAACATTACCTTTCCTTTTCAATCTGCAGAGCTGTAATTTTCTGTAAAAATGCAATGCAATATGGCAACCTAGAGGCTCCCTGTACACAGTTGGTGTACAAAAAACCCCCCAGAAATGTAATTTCCTCCTGGTATGATTGGTTTCTGATTTTCCCAGATATCTGCACTAAGATAAAAGTCACATTTTAAGCATCTCCTGCAACAAAAAAAGTAATTTTTTGTGAAATACTCCCAAAGGGAAATCATGTCTAAAGGGATGCAGACCATGCAGCTTTCCTTATTAGAGCCCTTCAGTTGCAGCAGTAGATTGATAATTATAAAATCATTCCCATACGTATTCACTCTGCGCATTATCAGCTCATGAAATTTTTAGTCTGAAAATAAAACTTTTCAATTTAGCAAGGCAAATAGGAGGCAATGAGAGAAGTTTGTTGATACAGATAACGTTCACTTTAAGTATGTTATCAAGGTAAAACATTAAGATTTTGATTATCCAAAAGATGCTCCCATCACTGCTAAGGTACACTCAGTCATTTTCATAAATGGCAGGGCCTTTTTTCTTCTCTTGCCTATAATCCCACTCTTCAGCGATTTTCCCTTTAAAGATGAAATGTTTCTCACTTAATAAACCTGCATACAGTTAATTTTTAGGGCCTAAAACAGTAAACAGTGTCTTGGAACTGGCAAATAAATAATAAATAATCATTTCATATTTTTCTCTCCAACTGAACATTAGAACAAGAACACTAATGTTCTACAAGGAAAACACAGCCTCAAAAACAAACATGTTGTAAGATGTAATTTTGGTCATGATTCATGTGTTTTGTGAACTATTGAAAAAAGGACTGCAATGACATATTGGAAGTGTTTACATTATACTTATTTCTGATGGTTGAACAATTTTGTAATAATGTTATTAGCTTCCCCATTATAGAAGCAAACAGTTAATGCGAGAAGAGCACAGTAACAGCCTAACAACATGGTACTGACATAGTAAATACAATGGTTTAGGCATAGGAGAAGATAATACTGCAAAGGTTAGTAGAGAGAGAAATCTGGGATGCATGAGCCAGGGTAAAGATATTCTTTCTGCAATACAATTATAATGTATTGACATGAACATTGAAGTAGCAGCCTTGGCTCTAGCATTGTGGAATATATTATAGTAAGATATGGTAAAATATAGCTATTCCCTGACTGCTTGAGAGTCTTAGATCAGAGCATAAAAAGGCACAAAATTAGCCCAGACAGAGAATTGAGATTGAGAAAAGCAACAACTTTACTTTAGCTAAGAAGAAACACCAGCATTAAGAAGACCTACAGCCATTTCTTCAATGTAGAGGATTAAAATGAATAGTAGAGGAGAAATTCTATAACACTTCACACTTGATTATTGACATTTGCGTTGTTTTCATTGAGAATATAAAAAGAACAGAAACAGTTAAACTCATTAAATGTGGGGTGACGGCTTTATTTTTTTTTTTTGGCTTGTATTTCTTTATTTTTACCAGGTCAGTCATGTAATTTCTGTCTGGGGTTTTTTTTTATGTTTTTTTTTTCTTTTTTTTTTCATCTGGGGACTCTGTCAGCAACACTCTTCCTGTCTTAGGTTAATTTTGTGGGGGGATTTTTCACCTAGAGACTCTGTCAGTAACACACTTCCTGTCTTAGGGTTTTTTTTTATTTTCTTTTTTTTTCCACCTAGTGACTCTGTCAGTAACACACTTCTTGTCTTGGGGTTATTTTGTGGGGGGTTTTTCACCTAGTGAGTGTCAGTAACACACTTCTTGTCTTAGGGTTATTTTTTATTTATTTTTTTCACCTAGTGACTCTGTCAGTAACACACTTCCTGTCTTAGGGTTTTTTTTTTTTTGTGTTTTTTTTCACCTAGTGACTCTGCCAGTAACACACTTCCTGTCTTATGGTTTTTTTTGTGGGGTTTTTTTTCATCTAGTGACTCTGCAGTAACACACTTCTTGTCTTAGGGTTATTTTTGTGTTTTTTTTCCACCTAGTGACTCTGTCAGTAAACACACTTCCTGTCTTAGGGTTATTTTTGTGGGGTTTTTTTTTTATCTAGTGACTCTGTCAGTAACACACTTCCTGTCTTAGGGTTATTTTTGTGGTTTTTTTCACTAGTGACTCTGTCAGTAACACACTTCCTGTCTTAGGGTTATTTTTGTGGGGTTTTTTTATCTAGTGACTCTGTCAGTAACACACTTCCTGTCTTAGTGTTATTTTTGTGGTTTTTTTTCCATCTAGTGACTCTGTTAGTAAACACACTTCCTGTTTATGGTTATTTTTTGTGTTTTTTTTTTCCACCTAGAGACTCTGTCAGTAACACACTTCCTGTCTTAGGGTTATTTTGTGTTTTTTTTTTCCACCTAGTGACTCTGTCAGTAACACACTTCCTGTCTTAGGGTTATTTTTGTGTTTTTTTTTCACCTAGTGACTCTGTCAGTAACACACTTCCTGTCTTAGGGTTATTTTTGGGGTTTTTTTTCCACCTAGTGACTCTGTCAGTAACACACTTCCTGTCTTATGGTTATTTTTGTGGGTTTTTTTTCCATCTAGTGACTCTGTCAGTAACACACTTCCTGTCTTATGGTTGTTTTTGTGTTTTTTTTCCACCTAGTGACTCTGTCAGTAACACACTTCCTGTCTTAGGGTTATTTTTGTGTGTTTTTATTTCACCTAGAGACTCTGTCAGTAACACACTTCCTGTCTTAGGGTTATTTTTGTGGGGGGGGGGGGGTTCACCTAGAGACTCTGTCAGTAACACACTTCCTGTCTCTCTTAGGGTTATTTTTGTGTTTTTTTTTCCACCTAGTGACTCTGTCAGTAACACACTTCCTGTCTTAGGTTATTTTTGTGGGGTTTTTTTTTCATCTAGTGACTCTGTCAGTAACACACTTCCTGTCTTAGGGTTATTTTGTGTGTTTTTTTCCACCTAGTGACTCTGTGTCAGTAACACACTTCCTGTTCTTAGGGTTATTTTTGTGGCTTTTTTTTTTATCTAGTGACTCTGTCAGTAACACACTTCCTGTCTTAGGGTTATTTTTGTGGCTTTTTTTCCACCTAGTGACTCTGTCAGTAACACACTTCCTGTCTTAGGGTTATTTTTGTGGGTTTTTTCCACCTAGTGACTCTGTCAGTTACACACTTCCTGTCTTAGGGTTATTTTTGTGTTTTTTTTTTACCTAGTGACTCTGTCAGTAACACACTTCCTGTCTTAGGGTTATTTTTGTGTGGCTTTTTTTTCACCTAGTGACTCTGTCAGTAACACACTTCCTGTCTTAGGGTTATTTTTGTGGCTTTTTTTCACCTAGTGACTCTGTCAGTTAACACACTTCCTAATGTCTTAGGGTTATTTTTGTGTTTTTTTTTTTCACCTAGTGACTCTGTCAGTAACACACTTCCTGTCTTAGGGTTATTTTTGTGGGTTTTTTTTCTAGTGACTCTGTCAGTAAAACACTTCCTGTCTTAGGGTTATTTTTGTGGCTTTTTTTTCCACCTAGTGACTCTGTCAGTAACACACTTCCTGTCTTAGGGTTATTTTTGTGGCTTTTTTTTTCACCTAGTGACTCTGTCAGTTACACACTTCCTGTCTTAGGGTTATTTTTGTGTTTTTTTTTCCATCTAGTGACTCTGTCAGTAACACACTTCCTGTCTTAGGGTTATTTTTGTGGGGGGGGGGGGGGGTTCACCTAGTGACTCTGTCAGTAACACACTTCCTGTCTTATGGTTATTTTTGTGTTTTTTTTTCCACCTAGTGACTCTGTCAGTAACACACTTCCTGTCTTAGGGTTATTTTTGTGTTTTTTTTTCCACCTAGTGACTCTGTCAGTAACACACTTCCTGTCTTATGGTTATTTTTGTGGTGGTTTTTTTCCACCTAGCGACTCTGTCAGTAAACACACTTCCTGTCTTAGGGTTATTTTTGTGTTTTTTTTTTTTCACCTAGTGACTCTGTCAGTAACACACTTCCTGTCTTCCTGTTATTTATGGTTATTTTTGTGGGTTTTTTCCACCTAGTGATTCTGTCAGTAACACACTTCCTGTCTTAGGGTTATTTTTGTGTTTTTTTCCACCTAGTGACTCTGTCAGTAACACACTTCCTGTCTTTCCTTGGGTTATTTTTGTGTTTTTTTCCACCTAGTGACTCTGTCAGTAACACACTTCCTGTCTTAGGGTTATTTTTGTGTTTTTATTTCACCTAGTGACTCTGTCAGTAACACACTTCCTGTCTTAGGGTTATTTTTGTGGGTTTTTTTCCACCTAGTGACTCTGTCAGTAACACACTTCCTGTCTTATGGTTATTTTTGTGTTTTTTTTTTCATCTATAGTGACTCTGTCAGTAACACACTTCCTGTCTTAGGGTTATTTTTTTGTGGGGTTTTTTTTTTCTAGTGACTCTGTCAGTAACACACTTCCTGTCTTATGGTTGTTTTTGTGTTTTTTTTCCACCTAGAGACTCTGTCAGTAACACACTTCCTGTCTTAGGGTTATTTTTGTGTGGGTGGGTGTGGTGGGGGGGGGGGGTTCACGTAGAGACTCTGTCAGTAACACACTTCCTGTCTTAGGGTTATTTTTGTGGGGGGGGGGGTTCACCTAGAGACTCTGTCAGTAACACACTTCTGTCTTCCTCTCTTAGGGTTATTTTTGTGGGTTTTTTCCACCTAGTGACTCTGTCAGTAACACACTTCCTGTCTTAGGGTTATTTTTGTGGGGTTTTTTTCACCTAGTGACTCTGTCAGTAACACACTTCCTGTCTTAGGGTTATTTTTGTGACTTTTTTTCCACCTAGTGACTCTGTCAGTACACACTTCCTGTCTTAGGGTTATTTTTGTGTTTTTTTTTATCTAGTTGACTCTGTCCAGTAACACACTTCCTGTCTTAGGGTTTATTTTTGTGGCTTTTTTTCCACCTAGTGACTCTGTCAGTAACACACTTCCTGTCTTAGGGTTATTTTTGTGTGGCTTTTTTTCCACCTAGTGACTCTGTCAGTAACACACTTCCTGTCTTAGGGTTATTTTTGTGGCTTTTTTTCCACCTAGTGACTCTGTCAGTACACACTTCCTGTCTTAGGGTTATTTTTTTGTGTTTTTTTTTATCTAGTGACTCTGTCAGTAACACACACTTCCTGTCTTAGGGTTATTTTTGTGTTTTTTTTTCACCCTAGTGACTCTGTCAGTAACACACTTCCTGTCTTAGGGTTATTTTTGTGGCTTTTTTTCCACCTAGTGACTCTGTCAGTAACACACTTCCTGTCTTAGGGTTATTTTGGTGTTTTTTTTTTTTATCTAGTGACTCTGTCAGTAACACACTTCTTGTCTTAGGGTTATTTTTTGGGGGTTTTTTTTTATCCACCTAGTGACTCTGTCAGTAACACACTTCCTGTCTTAGGGTTATTTTTGTGGCTTTTTTTTTTTCCACCTAGTGACTCTGTCAGTAACACACTTCCTGTCTTAGGGTTATTTTTGTGTGTTTTTTTTTCCACCTAGTGACTCTGTCAGTAACACACTTCCTGTCTTTAGGGTTATTTTTGTGTTTTTTTTTTATCTAGTGACTCTGTCAGTAACACACTTCCTGTCTTAGGGTTATTTTTGTGGCTTTTTTTTTATTTTCCACCTAGTGGACTCTGTCAGTAACACACTTCCTGTCTTAGGGTTATTTTTGTGTGCTTTTTTTCCACTAGTGACTCTGTCAGTAACACCACTTCCTGTCTTAGGGTTATTTTTGTGGCTTTTTTTCCACCTAGTGACTCTGTCAGTTACACACTTCCTGTCTTAGGGTTATTTTTGTGTTTTTTTTTTATCTAGTGACTCTGTCAGTAACACACTTCCTGTCTTAGGGTTATTTTTTGTGGGGGGGGGGGGTTTACCTAGTGACTCTGTCAGTAACACACTTCCTGTCTTCCTTCTTATGGTTATTTTTGTGGGGATTTTTTTCCACCTAGTGATTCTGTCAGTAACACACTTCCTGTCTTAGGGTTATTTTTGTGTTTTTTTCCACCTAGTGACTCTGTCAGTAAACACACTTCCTGTCTTAGGGTTATTTTTGTGGGGTTTTTTTCCACCTAGTGACTCTGTCAGTAACACACTTCCTGTCTTATGGTTATTTTTGTGTTTTTTTTTTTTTCTTATCCTAGTGACTCTGTCAGTAACACACTTCCTGTCTTCCTGTCTTATGGTTTATTTTTGTGGGTTTTTTCCACCTAGTGATTCTGTCAGTAACACACTTCCTGTCTTACGGGTTATTTTTGTGTTTTTTTCCACCTAGAGTGACTCTGTCAGTAACACACTTCCTGTCTTAGGGTTATTTTTGTGGGGTTTTTTTCCACCTAGTGACTCTGCCAGTAACACACTTCCCGTCTTATGGTTATTTTTGTGTTTTTTTTTTTTATATAGTGACTCTGGTCAGTAACACACTTCCTGTCTTAGGTTATTTTTGTGTTTTTTTTTTTTATCTAGTGACTCTGTCAGTAACACACTTCCTGTCTTAGGGTTATTTTTGTGTTTTTTTCCACCTAGAGACTCTGTCAGTAAACACACTTCTGTCTTAGGGTTATTTTTGTGGGGGGGGGGTTCACCTAGAGACTCTGTCAGTAACACACTTCCTGTCTTCCTGTCTTAGGTTATTTTTTGTGGGTTTTTTTCCACCTAGTGACTCTGTCAGTAACACACTTTCTGTCTTATGGTTATTTTTGTGTTTTTTTTTCCACCTAGAAACTCTGTCAGTAACACACTTCCTGTCTTAGGGTTATTTTTGTGGGGGGGGGGGGGTTATTCCTCCTGAGACTCTGTCAGTAACACACTTCCTGTTCTTCCTGTCTTATGGTTATTTTTGTGGGTTTTTTTCCACCTAGTGACTCTGTCAGTAACACACTTCCTGTCTTAGGGTTATTTTTGTGTTTTTTTTAAATCTAGTGACTCTGTCAGTAACACACTTCCTGTCTTATGGTTATTTTTGTGTTTTTTTCCACCTAGAGACTCTGTCAGTAAACACACTTCCTGTCTTAGGGTTATTTTTGTGGGGGGAGGGGGGGGGTTTGTCACCTAGAGACTCTGTCAGTAACACACTTCCTGTCTTCCTGTCTTATGGTTATTTTTGTGGGTTTTTTCCACCTAGTGATTCTGTCAGTAACCCCCCCCCCACACACTTCCTGTCTTATGGTTATTTTTGTGTTTTTCATCTAGAGACTCTGTCAGTAACACACTTCCTGTCTTAGGGTTATTTTTGTGGGGTGACTCTGTCAGTAACACACTTCCTGTCTTAGGATTATTTTTGTGGGTTTTTTCCACCTAGTGATTCTGTCAGTAACACACTTCCTGTCTTAGGTTATTTTTGTTTTTTTTCATCTAGTGACTCTGTCAGTAACACACTTCCTGTCTTAGGGTTATTTTTTGTTTTTTCATCTAGTGACTCTGTCAGTAACACACTTTCTGTTTTAGGGTTATTTTTTATTTTTTTTTCCACCTAGAGACTCTGCCAGTAACACACTTCCTGTTGTATAGTTATTTTTTGTGGGTTTTTTTTTCATTATTTTCACCTAGTAACTCTGTCAGTAGCACTGATATAATAAAATGCTTTCAATTATATATTTAACAAACCAAAAGGGAGAAAATAAGAGAAGTTCATTGCTAGAGTTTAGATAATACCGAAACACACTGGCAAAAAGGACCTTCTTCAACTGTGTCCATTGACTGCCTCCAGTCTTCCACCTGTGCCTACAGCTCTACTGCTCACCACTCTTTTTAAGGAAGTGATGAAACTAGACATCTTTCTAACACATTTTATTGTTTATAAAGCAAGTTTGTTCTTGTATTTGAGTTTTGTTTTTAGCAGGATCATCACACAGTGGGAGGTATGGTTATAGGACTTGCTGATTCATCCCCATGTGGTAATGCAAGAGTTTCCATAACACATTTAGCTCTGATTGGATCAATTCATGCTTTATCTCACCCAAATCCCTAAACTGTATGGCCAAGACAGTTTGAACGTTGCTCTGCAGCATAAACAATAGCAATGTTAGTTTGAACACATCTGCAGCCTGTTTATTTTCCCCTTTGGGAGCCATAAGTGTTTTGGAAGAAAAACCAAAAATCACATTGTGCCAAAATACTTGATCCTGTATGTGTCTGTTTTCGATATGTGGGTATCAGCAGTATATCATTCTGTCAATGTTTAATTGTCAGGGCATTGTTATAAAGCAGAGATTCTGAAATTCAGCAAACATTTTATATGCAGGTGAATATTCCTGACTCTCCACCAGAGAATGTTTGCTGAAACACACATTCTGTGCTTTTTAAGTAGACCCTACAGTGTTGCAGGTGGAAAAATGCTTCCCTGTTTGTACGTCTATTGTTTATAAATGATAAAAATCATTTCTCTCCTGTAGCAAACTCTGAAACTCTGTCAGTTCTTCTTTTTTTTTTTTTTTTTAATACTTATCTTAGGCCGTGTTTACACAAAAGCCAACTTTTACATTTTGTTTCCAATTCAGTGTCTGCACATCAATGAACATCATTTCATTGGCTCTAGCCAAGCCTGCATAGTCATCAGATTCTAGGTAATGATCTTACTACTGAAAACATTGTTTCCCATAATAGGCACTAGTACATGCATTCTCTCCCTTGGAGTATGAATATAATTTTATATGCCATAAAGCGGCATTGAAATTGTCTGGAAATAAGTCAGCAACACAGGCATACAGGAAGGCATTAGCCAGCAGAAGGTCGCATATGTTAAAGATATATAAAACACACACACTGTTTAATTTACATTATCCATTCTCTTTTTCCTAATTGATTTACAGTGGTCACATGACTCAGCTCTTTCCCAGCCTGTCTGTAGGGAAACAGTGGCAGGAGAAACTTCTAGTCCTCTGCTACTAAACACATGTTTAAGAGTAAAAAAAAAACACCTTTGGAATACAGAGTAAATAAATAAATAATGTAAATAAACTGTTTTAAATTGTCATACAAAAAAAATAATATATATATATATATATATATTTGAATTTAAATTTTTATTCTTTTTTGGCAATAACATGGTGTGGGTGGATTTCTACCAGTCAAAGGCTATGTCACACCCCTCCAGCCTGTGTCTTAGAATAACAGGGAGATGAAGCTACCATCAATCAAGATGTAACATCCCACTCCCATTGTGTTTAGTGGGCATAGAGGAGGAGGGAGAGAGTGGACTGTCAGTTACCACTGTGCAGGGGCGGACTGACCATTTGGAAACTCAGGCACTGCCCGAGGGCCCGGGGTCAGTAGGGGGCCCCATGAGATGCCCCTGGTACCTTTTTCATAGGCTTTTTTGAGTTTGGGCAAGGACACAGGGGCCCCATGATCCCCTATTGCCAAGGGGCCCCATGAGTTGTCAGTCCGCCCTGCCACTGTGTATACGCCCCAGGCATTCGAGCACTCGGGCACTGCCTGAGGGCCTGGGGTTAGTGGGGGGCCCAATGAAATGCCCCTGGCACCTTTTTAATAGTCTTTTCTGGGTGTGGGCAAGAACACAGGGGCCCCATGATCCCCTATTGCCCGGGGGCCCCATGAGTTGTCAGTCCGCCCCTGATATGCTCACATGTGTGACTCTATAGTCACATGGGCTGCTCAGATGTGATAGAAAGGAAATGCTCAGGGTAGAAAAAAACACTGAAAACTGAGAATTTGCTGTAGCTGCCAACACTGCTCTGCAAAATCACCAACTGCAATGGGGACATGAGCAGAAAGGGGAGATAGAGAACTGCAGGATCAACCACGATTTTTGCAGAATACAGAAAATGAATCCGATAGTGACTGAGTGAGTATGATCGGGATGTAGTACAGCATCTATTGATAGCTTTTAATGATGTGAGTTTAATGACACCTTTAAGCATACCTACTGCATAAGAGGCACTAAAAGCACTTTTCTAGTAGCTAAGATTGTTAATATGCCACTTATCTGCTCCTCCCCTGCCTCTGCAAGTATTCCATACTTCCAGGTGTGTGGAATAGCTATTCCCCTTTGCATGCTGTGGTTTCTCCCATTGGCTCATACATCATTTCAGAAAGAGAGAAATCACTGCATTCGACAGAGGGAATTGATATTTGGACCATTCCAACCTGGGCATGCCACAGAGAAAACAATCTACAAAAGTTGGAAACTCATTTTAGGTTTAGAAACAGAATCTAAAGACCCCAATGTCCTTTGGCAACTCTACACATTAGAAGCAGGGCTGGATCTACAATCATACACAGTAGGCATTTGCCTGAAGTTTTGTGCCAACAGACTTCATGGAAACTCACCCATGAAATAAAAAAAGACAGGGATCTCTATTTCTACATTACTCTTGAGCACAATCTCTTTACTCAGATAGTAAGGTGCTCTTAGAGAACCATGTAAGCTGCAACACCTGCTTTTCCAACTGGTTGTACTGTAGTAGAAAACTGAGGATATGTTTCCTGCAGGAAATAGGTTGTATGGGGACATCTTTGTGTTGTTATAAGGAGAAAAGTTTTAGTGTACTGTAGAAAATATACAAATGCCAACACTTTTCTTTATTACAGAATAGAAATTGTGTTTTTAACCATACATGTGGTTTAAACTTTATTTTGTATTTGTATTAGAAAATCTAAACTGAGCTTACCAGTGCAGACATCTCTCATTTTACAGGACTTCATATTCTTACAAAACCCAGAAGTTCTTGAGTTGTCACTGTTGTTTAAAAGTCATATGTGTAACAAACCTGTTTTTAAATCTGACCTTATTTCTCAGTAGGTTTACAGAAAGTAGACAAGCCACTAAATCACTATCTCAGGCATCCACTGATCTTTGTAATTTATTTGTTAAAAGTTCCATGGCTTTCTAATATTTCATTTACAGATTTAAAAAAAGTTCAGAAAGCAATATGACAATGATTTTCAAAGCTTAATAATACTCTTAATAACAAACATACAAGTTATATGGAGGGAACCAAATATCAATTTCAAAAGCTTCATGGCTTTTGACTGTTGAAAGGGTGTATCTTCAGGTTGTTGTAGATTTACTTATCTCTTAACAGAGTCAAGCTTATTTAATAAAAAGGTGCACTGAAATCTAGCAATGTGCACAGCATAAATACCTATAGCTATTTCTACTATCGCTTTGGTCATTATAAATTACTATTGCTGCACTTCATAAATTGGACTTCATAAATTTGATCACATACACAACATCGGGCTGATATGCTTTTAAAGTAATTGCTACTTTTTAATGGCAAGCTGATTTTGTGGTTGCACCATGACTGGATGCTTAAAGGTGAAATCTGGTGATTGATCAAGACCCGCAAAAGGGATACTTGCAAGCAAGATAATGAAATTGATAGTACCCATATAGAGCATCGAAACTAGCTTTTTTTTATGAATCCTGTAAAGTGGTGACAGATTTCCTTTATAGACATACACTATATTGCCAAAAGTATTGGGATGCCTAGCTTTACACGCACATAAACTTTAACAGCATCCAAGTCTTAGTCCTTAGGGTTCAATATTGATTTGGTCCTCCCTTTGCAGCTATAACAGCTTCAAGCAGAGTGTAATGAATGCAGAGGGACTACTTGTAAAGTTGGCGAAGGAGGAAGAGGAGGGGGAAGAAAGAGGAGGGGAGAGTGTAGTAGGTAGCAGGAGCTGCATAAGCCGATGCCAACTCTGTAGTGCTGGCTTCTGTCCTATTTGGAGTGATACCAACCGCACTCCACCTTTTATCCCAGCTTGCGGTCTCTAGAGTGGTACCAGCAGCAGGAAAGAAGAGATCTTCAGGTCAGTGTGAAGCAATACACTGGGCATAATAGTATAAAGCTGCTTTCACACTGATGCACAGTGGTTTACCCACACCGTGGGTGCAGCGCAATGTATCTGCAGTTTTCCTGCGGGTTTGTTGCACTTAGCCATAGACTTCTATTATATCTTGCACTCCTCTTAAAAGTGATCAGAGTGTGTTTGACAAGTGGTGAGGAGGCAACAAATATAATTTAAACCCATGATCACAGTGCAATTCACACGATTGCGACACGGTAGTACTGCAATTAGAGGTTTAAATCGGGTGTGTGGAGATGACACTGTGCCCAGTGATCTTTGATTTCTCCCATGTTCAGGTAGATCTCTACCTCTTTAACCACTTGATCTCCAGAGGATTTACCCCCCTGAATGACCAGGCCTCTTTTTGCTACTCGGCGCTGCACTAATTCAACTGATAATTGCGCGGTCATGCAATGCTGCACTCAATCAAAATTTATGTCCTTTTTTTCACACAAATAGAGCTTTCTTTCAGTGGTATTTGATCGCCTGTGCGCTTTTTATTTTTCACGCTATAAACAAAAAAAGGCCAAAAATTTTGAAGAAAAACAATATTTTTTACTTTCAGCTATAAAAAATATATAGTAAACTCAAAGTTGGTTATAAATATAGGCCAAAATGTATTCTGCTACATGTTTTTGGTAAAAAAAATCCCAATAAGTGTATATTGATTGCTTTGTGTGAAAGTTATAGCGTCTACAAACTATGGTATAGATACTGCAATTTAAGCCATTTTTTTGCTATACAGCGCTGCGCTAGTTTAACGGACAATTGCGCGGTCATGCAATACGGTACATAAATGAAATTTACATCCTTTTTTTCCCACAAATTGAGATTTCTTTCGGTGGTATTTGATTGCCTGTGCAGTTTTTATTTTTTGAGCTATAAAAAAAAGGCTGACATTTTTGAGGAAAAAAAAAAACAATATTTTGGACTTTTTGCTATAAAACATGTCCAGTAAAAAAAAATTTAAAAATCAAATTTAGTCATAAATTTCTGCCAAAATGCATTCCTCGGCATGTCTTTGCTAAAAAAAAAAACCCAATACATGTAAATTAATTGGTTTACGTGAAAGTTATAGTGTTTACAAATGGCGGGAAAGATACTGGGATTTTTAGTTTTTTTTATACTAATAATGGCGGCGATCAGCGACTTATGGCGGGACTGCGGGACTGCTGCGGACATTCTGACATTGGGGGGTACTGACTTGGGGTCACTGACATCCCCAGTGACACCAATACAGTGATCAGTGCAAAAAAAAAAAAACTAATGGAACTGGGGAGGAAGGGGTTAAGTTATTTGCATATTTTGCACACCAATTTTTGCACATATTGGTTTGCACTACATTGTGGACTTTATTTTCTGCTATTTTGTTATATATATTTATATATTTATTGTGTTTTGCAGTTTGAGCACCAGTCACTTTAAAATAGAGGGTATTGTGTAACACAACACTATTTGACCTGTTGTTTGCACACTATCACCAGATTATTTTTTAAGTGTGGAATATAAGCACCAGTCACTGTGATTCAACACTTATCTTATTATTTTATGTTCATTCGTGTGTTATTAATATTTTAGTCTATTTATATTGCACTATTTAAGTGTCACGGTTCATTTATGAATACAGTTATACTGCATTTCATATATACACAATTTAATTGTAATATATGCATAGCGCTTAACCATTATTATTTACAAGATAGCAGTTGTATTTTTTGGTAAATACACTACCTTTACCACTCGGTGTAGATCATCAAGATGCTGTAGGTGGCCTGGAGCATTATCAAGCAGGAGTAGAATTTTAAAAGGAATGCTCTTTTCTTCACAGTAACACTTCACTGAGGGTATAAAGTAGTTGCTGAAGCAATCTTCAAATAAAGCTTGCGTCATCCATGCCTTGTTATTAGCTCTATAGTAAACGGGCAGCATGCGCTTACTAATATGCTTTAATGCACAAGGGTTCTAGAGGGGAATAGATGGGATAGATGAAGAAAGGCTTTAATATGAACTCACTAACATTTCTCCCAACAACAATGAGACTCTATACTTAAAAGCCTTAAAGCCAGGCATTGTTTTAGCTTCTTTGTGTATGTAGGACCTTTCAGGCATTTTCTTCCAAAAAAGGCCGGTTTCATCCACATGAAGATTTGTTCTGGACAGTAGCCGCCTTCCTCTATGATTTTATCAAATTGGTCAAGAAAAAGTTGTGCTGCTTCTACATCTGCACTTGTCGCCTCACCACTGACACTCTGATTATGCAGCTTGAACCTGTGACAAAACCGCTGAAACCATCCATGACTTGCTATAAAGGTTTACATTGATGCTTCACCTTCACGTGCCTTCAGAATCTGGAAAATACTGAGTGCCTTGGCTTGAATGATTGCAAAACTCATTGGCATTCTTTTTTGTATCTGGTGATCAAACCACATTGCCAATAATTTTTCCATTTCATGAATGAGGCCTGTCCGCTGCCTAGTTATTATGGTTTTAAAACCTGTACATGTTTTCACTGCCTCTTTCACTTTGTCTTTATCCTTCAGGACTGTTGAAATGGTTGATAGCACCAGATTTAAGTCCTCTGTAACTTTTTTACCAGCTTCATAGTTGTTTATGAT